CGCATGGAACTCTCGGGGTGGCTCGTCTGCCATTCCTTACAACAATTTGTACGGTTCCCAAGAGTTTTCTGAGAGATAACCCTCCCAGGTAATCCGATATTGCACGAACTTCTTCCCACGACCAGCCTGCTGCCATTGGCTATCGGCTATTTTCTTGAGAACGTAACTGTCTTCCCCTTGAACCTCATCCGGAGGTGGAAGCAGTATAGCTCGTTGAGGGTCCAGCAGAGATATATGGAAGATATCATGAATGTTCCACTGAGCGGGTAGATTCAGCCTGTAGGACGCGACGCCAAGTTTCCCGACAACCTCAAAGGGACCCAATTTTTTTTGGTGGTCTAGCTTATTTGAGGGTCACTTGGTTAAGATGTTGCGTCGGTCCAGCATCACCTCGTCCCTAACCTTCAGTTCTGGAGCACTCATCTGTTTCTGATCATACCATTTTTTCTGCTGTGCTTGTGCCGCGCTGGACGCGTCGAAGTTGTCTAGTTTCCGTTCAAGTGAGGGCCAAGTGGAATCTGGTTGAAACCCATAGTTCGCGTAGAATGGCGATGCTTTGGTTGACTCTTGGGTGGCCGTGTTGTAGGCGTACTTGGCAAGTGGGAGTAGCTCTGCCCAATCGTCCCGCTGACAGAAGCAATAGTATTTTGAGATACTGTTCTAGCGTTTGGTTGACTCTCTCAGTTTGTCCGTCAGTTTGAGGACGATCTCTTCCAAATCTAGAGTCCCGATCGGAGATAATTTCCTCAGGAAATTCATGCAGTCGGCATATCTCCCATAGGAAGGTTTGAGCAAGCTCTTGAATGGTTGCTTTGGTCTCGAGCGGAATGAATTGGGACATTTTGGTGAAAACGGTCAACGATAACCCAGATATGGGTATAGCCCTCAGATTCAGTCAGGCTTGCGATAAAGTCCATTGAAATGGAGCTCCAAGGCATAGAGGGGACCTGTAAAGATTGCAACGTCCCATACTTCTTGTGTGTTGAGGCCTTAACGCGTTGACATGTATCGCAACTCCGAACGTATTCTTCCACATTGTTGTCCATCTTTAGCCAAAGGAGAGTGCCTGAAGGCGTTCTGCCGTTTTGAATTGTTCAAAGTGACCGCAGTCTTCGAATTATGTAGGGCGCTCAGGATCTTGAGCTCCAGTTCTCGATGATTTGGAATGTACCACTTTTCCTTATAGAAGACGTCTCCATCCTTTAAAGTGAGGTCTCGGTTCACCAGATTCCCGGAGGTGTTCTCCATGGCTTTTCTCAAGGAAAGGTACCCTGGATCTAAGGCTGCTCGAGCCTAGATTTCATCCGGGAGCACCGGTGTGAGTTTTGCAGACTTGGGCTGCTCTTGTCCATGCTGAGTTGATCATAACGATCGGGAATTGGACAGAACCCATTATAAGTTGTCCTGGCTTAAACAAGAATCTCAAGGTCTTGATGAGCCTTACCCCCCTCTGTAAGGGCGTGGTCCCAACGCCGCGACAAGATGTCTGGTTTGGCGTTTAGTTTTCCAGGGCGGTATACAACTTTGAAGTCAAACTCCACGAGGTTGGCCGCCCATCGAGCTTATCTCGGTTTCAGCGCTCCTTTTTTTTGCTGGTTGGTGACGACCGTGACCGTATCTTTGTAGGAACGCAGAAGGTGACTCCGGGGGTGGTGTACCTCTATGGGATTCCGGGGAGAACCCCTTGGCGAACCCAGGCTGGAGGAAGCCCAGAGGTGTAACGGGGGTAAAGCGAGCCCAACTCATGCCTAGGTTCGGAAAATATGGGAACTGAGGATCTTATCATCCACTAACTGACCCTTATAGCCAGTCTTTCACATCAGCTGAATAATGCTATTCAGGAAGGAGTCTATTCCCGCCTTGGCTGTGAGGGTAAGGGCCTTCCATTGGGCTACCGCATCATCCCTAGAGATAGCTTCGCCAAAGGCTGCTCTGAGAGCATCCACAAAGGAATCCCAGCACTTCCATTTCTCATCTAACACCACAGACATCCCAGCTATCCGGTTGGCAGAAGCTTGGTCAATGGAGTTGTGGTAAGCCTCATACCACTTGGCCGGGGCATCTCCTTCCATCAGGTTACCAGCATATCGGATCCTAACTTCTTCGGAGGTAAAGAACTGGCTTTCAATGGAGAAGACATTCTCACATTGCCTGATGAAGGTCTCCACATTGTTTGCTTTGCCATTGAACTTGGCCTGAGGGTGTGCCTTTGATTCTCGGGCTCTGGAGGCAGCGGAGGGGTGTGAGGGGGCCGGAGGTCTCATGAACTGTGTCATGGAGGCCAGGAGCTCTTTCTGCTGCTTCTCCAGCATCTTCCTGAGGTATCTCCGCCATCCTCTTCTATCTCCATACTCAGGCTCCGAATCTGAACTATCTGAGTCCCCTCCCGGGTTGGGATCACCACCAACCGGGGGGACTATTCCATTTTGTCCACCATTACCCGCTGGTTCTGGGTTCTGGTTTTCTCCACCGGGGGTTTCCCTCCGGCTGGAGGTTTCCCCTGGGAGACTTCGCTCATTGAAGCATGACACAATGGCACCTAACTCCTTGTCGTGAACGTCATAATTCCGTTCGGCTTGTGACATCATTTTGGAGTAAAAGACTCCTGGATACCACTTGTTGTCATCTCGGTGGAATTGGGACGGTATGCTAGATTTAGCGAAGTTGGAGGCATCGGTCTCAATCTTGGTAGCTAGCTCGGCATCAAAGTGGGCTAGTACGGGGGCGGATGGAAGGCCTCTTTCAGGACTTCGAACGCATGCTCCTATCCCTCAGACCAGGTAAACTCGGTGTCCTTGTCTCCTTCCACGGTTAGTGCCGGGTTCGGTTAAAGCCGGACCGAACTCCTGCTTCGGCTAACCACGCTGATTCTCGGAACTGGAATAGGAGTTCGCTTATAAAAGCGGGGTATCCGTCGAACTAAGGAGGGTAAGAATTCTTTTCCTTCTATTCATTCTACACTCCAGGGAGTTCGATCTTTCCACACCCAACACCAAATTTATCACCTCCTTTCAGCAATAATGTTTTTCTTTATTCTATTCCTCTCTTTGTTCATTGCGATCAATTCGTCTATTGTACAAGCGTTTTTATCTAACGCTAGTCGATCTCGGCGGGGGACAAGGCTTAGATCCTCAACTGGTGCGGTTGTTACTGATCTCCTGGAGCTGGATGGTGGTAACACCATCCACGCTCGGAGAGTTGCTCGTAAAGCCGTCCGATCACGGAGTGCTATGAGGTAGGCATGATCCAGCGAGTTGTGTAACCTCTTCTTACTACCGCTAATGCTTCCACAGGCATGCTGTTCCTCGGGGTTTGGAGACCTCGACCTTCGATGGCCATTTCAACCAGGTCCCATTTCTGACTCGGGAGGATTACCGTCGTCCTTATCCCTTCTCCCAACCAGGGGACAGAAGTGTTGGTCAGGCTCGTGTCCGTGCGGCACTGATGGAGAAACGGGAACAGGTGCGGTGGATGCGGGATGAGATTGCGCGAGATGGAAGGGGAGCTGAGTGGATGCGGCAGCGAGTGGTCCAAGAAGAGGCAAGGGAGAGACAAAGACTGGCTCTCCAAGCATATTACGAGGCATGGTGGCGCCAGAAGAAAGCCAGTTATCCTCCTCTTCCGGACTCTTCCTGCCGTCATCGTGGACGGAGTAACGTTGACTTTGGTTGGGACTGGGGCCCAGATGGGGAATGGGGCCCGTTGGTCAATGGGACTATCAGGATTTTCTAGGAGCGATCCTGGATGTGGTCTCCTTTCCGAGCGAAGCTGGGCGCTATAACCCTTTGAGCGAATGTGGGCGCTATAACCCTTTGACGGATGCAGTGGAGACCATAGTAGAGTGTTAGCCTCTCCCATGCCAGCCTGAGCTGAAAAAAAAAAAGGCTAACTGCTCGGTTATTTCAGCATTGAAAGTGGTCCTAGGTGTTCAGGTAGGTTTTTTTCTTTCTCGTGGGGTTCTTTAAGCGAGGAGCTTAAAGTTATACTGTAACGGGGGTGCCTTGAAGGGGCACGACCGTGACTTCGATCAGGTAGATAGGCAGAAAGGAATTCGACAAGCTATCCTTTCGGCTCGTTCGATGGAAAGATAGAGTTTCATTTGTTTGATCGTTATTTGTAGTCTAGAAACTTAATAACTTTAAGGGGGCTCCTCGCTGGTAAAGACTCGCTGATCCCCCGAGACCAAGCTGGGGCAACCGAGTTCCTTTATGGAAGTTCGGCGCCCCTTCCTTCATTCCCTCTTTCCTTTTTTCACTGGCCGTCCCGCCTTTCAAATAATCTGGGGGCACCGCCTATTTTCTATCAGGGGGGAGGAGAAGAGTTGCTACCACACCGCGGACGAATTTTCGTCCGAGTCAAATCTCGCAATCCTTGCCAAGAAAGGGTCGGGATCCTAGGAACTAGAGGAAACAGCCGACCAGACAGCAATTGCTTATTCAGAGTATTTAGGATAGATTTGGGTGTTTTTAAAGCAAAGGTTTGCTTTGGTAGTTTGGGTCGCACTCTTACTCCCCCCCAAAGATGCACCGGGCTGAAACAGGAGGGTTCCGGTGGTTCGACGCTCCGGGGGTTATTTTTGGGGGTCTAAAACGTGTTTATTTTGCAGTGTTTCCTCAACTCCGCAATGCGTTCATTCAACCACCCCAAATGGACCGGAGCATCGCCAGGATCCTTTCTGACGTGGTAAAGCATATTTTCCGGGCATCGGTTGCAAAGTTATTGTGCCTCAAAGGTTGAATGCCAAGGTAGGGTAACTTATGTTTGGGGTTACCCTTCCTTATTTGGCCTGCTCGTCCTGCTGCTCTAGTTTTGGTCCAGTCGTCTAGCTTGACTTGTAAGACTTCTTGCTCGCCAGGATCTCTACCCTCTATACCAATAGAGGTAGGGGCTCATCTGCCCTTGTCTTCACCCATCGATGAAGAACCAGCTGCGGTTAACCTAGGGCCGTATGGCTTGACTGGTAGAACAGGTATTTTTGTAACAGCCCTACTGTGGCCCTGTTACAGAAAGGGCTCATGTAGAAGAGTATGCTCCCCGATTAACACGCTACACTCCTTCTCAATCCTCTGAGCCTGCACTGACAGCACATTTGCACTCCTAGAGTTAGGGACCACAGACCTCTGAGTCAATTGGCTCGAAGGAATGTCGCCAGTGTTCTCAAAGACGTCGTGAGTGTCCTCCGGAATACTAACCTCGCTTCCTGGAATCAAAATACCCTCGCTTTCCGGCATCGGAGTACTCTCGTCCTCTTCCCTAGATGAGGGAAGGTACTCGATTTCGTAGACTCTTCGCGATCTACCTTGACCGTGAAGTTGGCTTGAAGGAATCTGACGACTGCTCACAGAGTTCTCGCCAATCACCTCGCTAGGCGGTGAAGAACGATATGTCCGGTAAGTGGGGGACGACTCCCCGTATCGAGAGCACATCGAGGAAAAATCGATATGGCGCGTAGAAGAGGTATACTCATGAGCATAAACAGGTGCAGAGGGCCTAGATTGTGAGGGTGTTGGGGGTGCTCTCTGGGATGCCGGGAGTGCTCTCTGGGATGCATTCTGGCTGGATGCTGAAGTGGGTGCTGCTCTCCCTTGACCTTGTTTACGTATTACTTTCGCGCCCCGGTCGAGTTCCCCTCTGAATCGTTAGCCACTAATACTTACATGTTAAAAAGCATCAATGAGCGAGATAGAGTCGAACCTGTACCACGTCCACCGACACGTTGGAAGAAGCAATGACCTCCGCTACCGCGCCAGTTGGTTTCCTCCGAGCATTGCCCAGTGCTCTGGCAGTAGTCGGCTGAACTGTATGAGGTCTCTTTCCGACAGTCTGAGACTTCTGGGTGTAAGATGGGGGGGGGCTTGAGGTTCATCCTCCGGTTCATCCTCATCCTCCTCAGAGCTCTCGTGGTCATTCTCCGGAGCATCATCATAGTCTGAGTGGCTAGTATCAACAGTTTCTTCCACCTCTGGCGCCTCAATTGCCTCAGGCTCCTCCTGCGCTTCAAAATTATCAGTATGGTCCTCGGGGAGATGAAATTCTACCCTCCTAGGACTGCTCCTCCCAGTGGGGGTTTCGGAGGAACGGAGAAGACCTTTCCGAGTTATTTGAGCGGCGGTGGTCGATTGACTACTCCGAGTTCGGGCTGGCAGTGGAGTCAATGTTCGGTAAGATATTTCAGACTCGTCAGTCAGTAAATCTTCATGTTCTTCAGGTCGTTTTGGGAGTCGTGGGCGCTTTGGGGCAAGAGGTGCTGAACCGGAGGAGCGCTTGGTGGGAGCCATTGTGATGACTGGCAGGAATATCCGCAGTGCTCTAGGAGCACTCGCGATATCTTCGATTAGAAATCAGTTCTTGGCGAGAAAATTTGCGCCGCTAATCAAGAAAAGTTTGCACCGCTAATCCTCTTATGGCAGGGATCATCCTATGTTACCACAATTTCTGCACTCAACCGCATCATTTATCATCACTCATTTTACTGCACTTTCTGAAGCGGTACCGAGTGCTCTGAGAGCAATCTAGGAGTTTGATTCGACTTTGAAATAAAAGCAATGCAATTACTACCTGGAATAATCTAATCTAATCTAATCTAATCTAATCCTATCCGATATAACCCATCCATTGATATACTCTCGCAAGACAAAGGGAAATCCAAAACACCAAATCGTACCGCACCTCAATAGCTATCGCGAGTGCTCAGGGAGTAATCCTAACAACTATTAAAAGGTTAGTGACAATTCCGCAGGAAGGGAAGTTAGAGATTATACCAAAGGGAACTAATGATGCCCACCACCATCACCACCATCACCACCACCACCATCACCACCGCCTCCAGCTGGCCCACCACCACCATCACCACCGCCTCCAGCTGGCCCACCACCACCACCACCACCGCCTCCAGCTGGTCCTCCACCACCACCGCCGCCCGGAGGAGGAGGAGGTCCGCCCGGAGGCGGTGGAGGTCCTAGACCACCACCACCACCACCACCACCACCACCACCTCCAGCACCAGCAGCCGCGAGTGAGTCAGCAGCTCTCTTGGCTGCTATCCCGGCAGGTGTCCAGATCGTCCCCTGTAAGAAGTTTGGGTCAGCAACCCCGACACCCAAAGGATACTTCATAAGGTATTTGGGGTCTAAATCGTCGATAGCATCCTGCTGTCTATCGCGACGCCTAACAAGAGTCTGAATTAGCCTTTGATTACTGGCATCAGTTCTAGGCATATATACCCTCAGTCCTTTGGCATTTATCCGGTGCTTTCCCTCCTCGTAATCCGAATCCTCTGCAGGAATATCGATCATGCTATAATCATCTTCCTCAACGTGAGGGAAAGCCGGGTTCAACGGGGGGATTCCGCACCACCCAGGTTAGCACCCGCGCCTGCTCTGTGGAGGACCGCCAATATCCTCCGAGGCCTGGCATTGCTGTTCTTCAACCAACCTTCGAGCTCCTCTGAATCGGTAATTTGTACCTCCACCGGCCGAACGGGAGGAACAGCTGCCGGGGGGACATTCTCAATTGCCCCCCAGATAGTCCTGACTGCTCTGCCGGGTGCGGTGTGCTTCAGGATCAAGTTGCATAGCTCGGGGAAAGTTATCTTGATCAAAATTCCGATGAACGAAGGTTCGTTCAGGGGATCATTCCAGTCATAAGTAGGTGGTGGGACGAGCATAAAGAATGCCCCTAGAGCATCGGGGTCCACCACGGTAAACCATTATGGAAGGTCGCACGAGTTCCGGAGGTACTGCACGCTCTTCCCTTTGCGAGAGCGTCTTCCGGCTGCCTGACCACCGCCGTCATCATCATCATCACTATCACCGGCAGCCTCTTTGAACTGACGGTCTCCCTGTCCCCTTGATAACCTATCCTTCATACCAACATCTGCGATGAGCCACTGTAGAGCACTCGCCAGTGCTCTACGGGCATCGGAGTCACCCCCAGTCCAAATTGGCAGAAAACCGTTGAGGGAGGGCAAGTTCATCAAGTAAAGGCATAGGGCATTGAACGCAGCCATACCGGACGTGCTTTTATTGACCCAACCCACATTTTGCATTTCCGCCTTTAGGCTGTTGCGGATGCTGGTGTACACTTTAGGTAGGTTGAGTAGACCTAAAGTCATCTTCGCTTTGCTTGCTTGAGTCATCTTGAATGCGGTCGAGCTCGGGGATGTCTCTTGAATACTCGGGGATGTCTCTTGAACACTCGGGGATGTCTCTTGGACAATCGGCGATGGCTCGGGTCTAATTCGTCTCTGTCGTACTGGTGAGGGGTGGTCTATTAGTTCGGACGGGCTTGCACTAGAAAATAACCGAGAGGGGCGTCGGGGCTTGGAATGTAGGGTCTCCGGTGCAAGAACCTTCGGTGGAGCACTGACGGGTGCTGGTGAGGGAGTAGTAGAGCCTGCTGGGCCTGTTGAGCGGCCTGTTGCTGGGCCTGTTGCTGCTGGGCCTGTTGAGCGGCCTGTTGAGCGGCCTGTTGCTGGGCCTGTTGAGCGGACTGCACTAGACTTGGACCGAGTGAGAACTTGACTTGGGACTATGGTCTTCCGGGCAACGTTCTTTTGTGGAGCACTAGCGGGTGCTGGTGGGGTAGCACTAACTCTAAGTACGATCGTCCGTACAAGGGCCTCTGGTGAAGCACTGCTGCGTGCTGAGGAAGCAGTGGAGACTGCTGCTAGTGGGCCTGTTGCTAGACCTGTTGCTGGGTCTTGATCGTCACTTATGTATGGTTCAGAGGGTTCGGAACTAAAGTCGGGAAAGGAGTCGGAATCAGTTAGGGTTGCTCCCCAGTTACTCGGGAAGATCCCTTCAGTGTCCGATGGAGCTAGGTTAGTATTTGGCGGAGTCCGGGTTTCAGTCCGGATTGGTGGAGGTACAGGGTTTTGTTTTCGGCTCTTGTTGATCGGGGTGAACCCGGAAAGCACTGGCGACTGCTTATGGGGTGTTTCTGGTATCTCCTCCGGGATAGGCTCGACAGTTTTGCGGGACGATTTGCGATCTGAGGAAGTTCGGTGTTTCTTATGTTTTCGGGACGATTTGTGTTTCTTGGTTTTTCGGTGGGTCTTTTCGTTATCGTCTTCATCTATGTCACGCAAGCGCTTCTTATTGGGAAGTTGATTTGTGTTCTGTGAGCTACCGGGAGTGCTCTGAGCGGTGTTTGGAGTCTGATAATGTTAATGTATCACTGTGGTGAGTATGGTTCTAAAATTAATTGGATTAGGAGAGAGAAATACCATCTTATTTATAAAGATTGCAAAGGTTAAATCGCTTGAAAACGGAGGAACTTGAAGGATGAGATTTCAACAGGTAATGTTGAAAGCAATGGAAAACTTGAAGTGATAGGTAGAGGAGAACTTGAAGGTGGTTAGGAACTTCTCACGAACTTGAAGGAAGGGAGGGGTGCTCTTATACCGCGTACGATCAACTTTTTGCTGAGCTTATCACGCTTCCGAGAGCACCCACGAATGCCCTAGAAGCACTCGAGGGTGCTCGTACTCAATGTTTGCTTCAATATATGACGTTGATCTAAATGCTCCAGGCGCCCTCGGGGATGCTCTGACGGTACCAATGGTGACGTCGATAACATTCTGGTGTTGGGGTTGGTGCTTGTGTTCTTGTTGGTGTTGGTACTCCGTCCTCTAGGAAGCTGATTCGGAGAGAATGTATTCTTTGAGCTCGTAGTCGATATTAGTATTGAATTTGGTGCTGAGAACCCTGTATCGATCTGAAGAGACTCCGCGAGTGCTCAGGGAGAGAGTGCAGATGCTCAGGGCGATAAAATCTAGCATAACTGGCCGCCTGATTGGGGTGGTGGGTGTTTCTTCGTGTTGGTGTTGATGTTTGTATTAGGTTGGTGATATATGACATCAGACTCATATTGAAAATCAGCCTTGCCGACCGGGGTGCAGGTGAGAGGAGCCTCATTGGCTGACAAATCAAATCATTCGAGCACTCTGCAGCAGCACCTGCAGGAAAGTGCCTCCTTGGCCTTGGCAGAAACCAAGTTTTTAGAGCACTCAGGAGTGCTTTGCTAGCATCATGAGACTTCAATGAAATCGTCTTGCCCCTTTTGCAGCAAGCGGTACAGCTCCTCCGCGAACTTCCATAAACATCTTCGAACTACACATACATATGAAGCAGATGAACGGCTGGGAAACCAATTTTTACTCCTGGAGCACGAACAAGTGGCACCCGATGACACACACGACAGCCCGGAAGGCATTCACGATTCCTATTCAGATGCCCATGACGACTCGGATAGTTTGGAGAGCAACAGTATCAATTATCATGACCAAGATCCCGATAATAATTCAGATCTGGAATCCGAATCATATTTTATGATGGAAGAGACAGATGGAGATGCAAATAGGCATGAGGCAGCGACAACGATTTACGAGGGTGCTGGGGAGCGTCTCTACCGCTCGCAGGACTACGACGAATGCTCACAAAACCTTCTCCGATACCCGTGGCACCCACTCAACTCAGCATACGAGTTTAGAATGGCACGTTATTTCATACTGTCGAAGGCCTCTGTAACGGGGGTCTATGGACGTAGGGACCATGATGCCAAGGAATACAACCGAGGCGAAGACGTAGCAATAGGTATTCAAGACTATGGACTATGGAGTGGCTCTGCCTAGTATGACTAACTAGTTGAGCCCTATGATGAGACGTAGAACGAAGTAGTATTCGTGGAGTAAATACAAGATAGATAGATAGATAGATAATTTATATTGCTTTGAAGTACAAGACTTATCGCACGCCATCGAGCTCCGCCACAGAAAAGGAAAAAAGAAAGAAAAAAGAAAAAAAAAAAAAAGAAAAGGACGAAGCGAAAGACAAAGGAAAAGAATCGAAAAAGGAGATACGAAAAACGAGTACAGGAAAGTAGGAAAAACCTTTATAAATCCTCCGGGTCCTCCTCCTCCTCGTCCATCTCGTACCAGTCCAGTAGGTTTGTTTTAGCTGCGAATTGTAGTATAAGGTCTATGTTTAGGTTTGTGAAGAGCCAGTTCTCCCAAGTGGGTGGTCCCGGGATTTTATCCATCAATGGCCTCCGGATTTGTGTCCATCGAGGGCATTCGATTATGGTGTTTTTGGAAGATTGTTCTACGCCACATTGGTAGGGCTCAGGTTCTGTGTATGCTGCATGTCTGTCTAGTCTGGTGACCTGACATCGTATGCGGTGTATCAGTTTTGCCTTGGAGATTGGGAGTTTTGCTCGTTTGGGGTTGACTTTGAGGGTTCCTGGTTCGTGGTAGTTGGTGATTGGGATGGAGTTCCAT